TTAACAGCAATATCATGCAAATGAGACTTTCTACTACCGACTTCCAAAATTCTGCAAGCACTTTTGCTGTCAGTATACCATGCTACGTTTTTGCCCTGAATACTTTCCCCTATAGTATTCAAACACCTGTTAATTGCTTCTAGTTCCCTCCACGTAGAACTTTTCAAGGATTCCTCTCCTGTCCAGAGACCTAGTACCTCTGTAATCTCTGAATTTTCTACATAAGCCCCAAAACCTGAATCAGAAGCGTCGCTAAAAACCTTTAAATCTGAAGATTCACTGCAAGTCTTAATTTCCTTACCATTAATTGACACTGCATTGTCTCTCCAAAATGTCAGTTCTCCTAACGATTGATCACTTAGTTTAATACTTGAATTCCAACTGTATCTTGTCAATATGTCTTGATATAAATATCTAGTGTTGAAACGAACCGCATGTCCTATAGCGTCTTCCATAGATATGATCTGACCCACAATACTAGCTATTGATTTCACCAGAAAGCATATGTACCCAGATTGAGTCTTAAATAAAATTTCCTCGATACACCTGAGAAGCTTATTAATTCTCTCTGAGGTTACTTTCAAGACACCGTTAACCGTATCCCATTTAAAACCTAACCATACTATATTTTGCTGTGGGTACCAGACACTTTTTGAATCTGAAATAATAAATCCCAACTCTGTTAAGTCTCTTTTGATAATATCGCTAAGTAAAAATGCGTCATCAAAATTACTACATCCAGCTAAGCCATCGTCCAAATACATGACAACCTGAAAACTCAGGGATCTCCAATACTGAACTACTTTTCTCATAAGTTTTGTAAAAATAAGAGCTGCTGAAGAAATGCCGAATGGTAATACATTGAAAACAAAATATTTGATAGCACCATTGATTTCCCATTGAAAACCTAGATATTGTCTATGCTGTTCAAAAATTTCAATGTGATGATACGCTGATTTTAAATCGAAGCTAAATAAAAAATCCCCTTTTTGAAAAATTTCTCTTGCAACTTTAACATCTTCCATTCTGAACGAAAAATCATGAATACAAGCATTGATATGCCTACAGTCTAACACTAAGCGAGGTTTACCTGTTTTGTTGAAAGCAAGAGTCAAAGGATTAACAACAAAAGGAACATTCCTTACCTGTGTTACGCAACCTTTGTCAATGAGCTTTTGAATCTCGGAATAAACAATTTTGACATTATCCCTAGCAGATTTGTTATTGTCCAAACAAACACTCTCTGGAATAGTTTTAAATGGAATCTTGTATCCGTTTACTATTACATCTAAAATGTACTTATCGGTTTTTATTTCTACCCATTTTGTCAAATGACTTCTCAAACGTCCAACTGGACTGACATTTTCATCTACAGTGGCCACAAAACGGCGTACATTCGTTTTTCTATCTAAAACACTAATCTTAGATAATACACTTTCTTGATTACTGCATATATTTTGAGCAATACTATCTAAATTACTTAACTTAGAGCTTGTCTCTTTGCTGTTGCTGGTGCATTCCTTTGCCCAATGACCGGCGAAACCGCATTTAAAGCATGTCCCCGACTTTTTGCTGCCCTCGTATGACTTGGTCTGATTTTGTGCGCTGTTGGACTTCTCCGGGTATGGGTTGATGCGTCTGGCCGCTCTCGCCTTTTGGATCCGCTCCTCTTTCAACTTCTTTTCGGCCCTTATTTCTGCCTTCAAAATTCGTTTTTCATCCTCCTCGTCAGACACTAATTCGTGCTGCGTGTATTCTTGAACGGTGCGCCATCCCGTCTTGGATGAGTCTGCTAATTTAATTAATTTTTGTCGCTGATGAAGAAGCTCTATACCTGAGGAAATGCAATTAAAGGCTACTTCTGGCTCTCCTTCGCTCAGACCCGTGTTGGCCTCTACCAGCTTGTCTCTAATGCTGTTGTTAAATTTGTACTGAGCCTCGTTTCCCTTTCGTTTAAAGACAAAAGCCTTGTCGTTTGCTGCTTGAAGTTTAGAAAGCTGTTGCTCATGTTGTTGTCTTTGCTGTTTCGTTATTTTCTGCTCCAAAGATGATAATTTGGAGTCCATTATCTCCGAAACTCGTTGTAGTAGCTCGTCGTTCGCCATGCTGCCCGAGAAAAATAGTGCTCCGTGCACTGAGAAAGACTGGCTTAGAATGACCTTAACTTTACGCCACTGACCCTTTATACTGGCCTTCCTATGGCCCGCCTTGTATTACTACGCATAGCTATTCAAACACGTTGCTATCATACAACGTTTTCCCGCTATTCTCCGAAACGCGGGAAAACTCTATTATCGCGTTAACTATGGTTTACAGATGTAAAATATAGATTAACGTTGTTAACTATAGTTTACAGTCCGTAAACTATAGTTTACAACCGATAAACCTAGTTTATCGACTGTGAAACTATGTTTTGCTCATTTTTGTGGATTTGGCGTGCCATAGTAACACGTGGTCAGTCAAAGAACGTTTTCTAGCTGTTCTAAAAGAGCACTTGTCATATTTGTTATGATTTGAATGAATGGGGTTAATTTTGATACGTATGAGAAAATGCAAAGCATGAAATAACAAACATTAAGCTTATACTTTGAAACTATCATGCTATATACGAGATATATATAGCGATCAACGTCAGCATTATAAGGATTAACTTGCTTTCCACATGTGATTAAAATGATTACTACATTCTCATGAAAAATCATTCAAATACGATTGGTCAGTATTGCAGGTGGTATAATGATTGCTGTTTTCTGTATTTCATATGCAAAGTAGTATAATTGCTTTCATTGAAATCAAACATCCAATCGATGAGTAGTATGGTTATCCACATGTGAAATAATAAGCACGCTTGCTCGATCATGCAAAGTGACAACCTGTTACTGGAATGATACTGAAAGATATAGAAATGAGAATATTTATTTGAAAAGAGATGCAAAAACTTTTTTAATTAATACAAACCAGATCAAATCATAATATTTAAAAAGCTTGCCGGTATAAAGCTTACAAATGTATTTTATTTTAAAAAATTGCCGTCTCATCAAAACTAAATCTGAAAGAAAAATAAATCAGAAACAGTGCATCTGTCAGATTACATATATGCATGTAACTCTTTGCGACATTCCACGAGTCCCAGACCTGTATCAAAGGGGGTATTTCAATAAATAAAAAAACTAAACCAATTTTTTTATTTGAAAATAGATTAAAAAGCCCTAGGAAATTAAAAGTTAAGACTGCATAGTACAAATCTAGGTCTAATGTTAATTAACTAAAATTTATTTACAATTTGCCAGTAAATAGCTTACAAATGCATTTTAGTGACGTCTCCTCAAACTATAAATCTGAAAAAAAAAGGCGGATTTCAAAAAGACAGAGGTCATTTATGAGATAAATACACGCTAACTCAGAAAATCTGTGTCCATAGCTTAAGGAAAAAAAAGAAGTGCATGAGCAGATCGAGGGGGGTAGGGGTGGGTCAAAGGGGCACTTTCATTAGAAGGGTGGGAGGAACCATATATAGAGAATTACGAAAATCAACTCGAAAGCATCTTTAGCTATCGCCTGCAAATGAGAGTTTTACAGACAATCACACACATAATATATGGATTTACCACTCTGACCTTTTGACCTCAAAATATACTAGTATTGTAGCTTTCCTTAGGCCATAAGGAGTTGTGGTATAAAAATATCATGATTGCAAAAGCTTCTCGAGATATCGCGCTGAGACGAAAGAGTTAAAAATGACAGAATTTTTGAATTATGAACTTGACCTCAAAATCAATAGGAATCTTTCTTATGTCATACATGTAGGGAATTGCTGTGTAAAACATTGCAAAAGCTCAAAAGCTTCTCGCGACATTGCATGGAATGGAACGTGTTACAGACAGACAGAAATACAGTTAGACGGGCGGACGTACAGACAGACAGACAGACCGAAATTAATACCCAGTGTTCTCCATTTATTTTAAAATATTTACATTTCCAATGTCTTTGTCTGAGATAAAATTACAAATTGCAAATGTACTTTATTTTCCCATCAATGTATTGGCGCGGTTCCAAAAAAAAAAAAAAAAAAAAAAAAAAAAAAAAAAAAAAAAAACACGTGTAGGGCGAAACAAACAGCTAGACAGAAACAGGGTTTGAAGCACTTGAATTGGCGGAATCAAAGCATGTAAATATAAGGAATAACTGGCACAGTTTTCAATTTCATGATAAGATCAAATCGATTGGCTTGCGTGATAATTTTATGCATAAACGCCGAAGGCGTTTATGCAAATTATCACGCAACCCAATCGATTGATCACATCATGAAATCAAAAAATAAGACAGTTATTCCTTAAGTACAAGGTTAAAGATCGATTGATACAGGTTAAGGGTTGATGTTAATGAACAGAACTATGTTAACCTTACAAGAAGTTTTGATTTCTAGGCGACATTTTTATCAATCGAAGTGGTCAATTTGGCCGTCAGCCGGTTCTTAGGGAAAACACTGAATGCCCCTCTTTCGGTTGGGGATATAGGGAATCGTCAACTGATAATAATGGTTATCTATTCTACAGGTCTGTTTTGAGTTATGTTATAAATTTTATTGCTAAAGCTTAAAAACTTCTTGAGATTTCGCCTTGAAATGAGAGTTTTACACACACCTATAATTTTTGAATTTACGACTTTGACCTTTGACCTGAACTCAAAATCACCCCCCAGGTCACAGTGTATTAATTTTGACCTCGAAAATTCTAGTCTTCACCATAACTTTGTAACAGTTGATGCTAGGCCTTTTAAAATTTTACAGGCATATTCTTTTAATTAAGTCCTTTCATTGCATACATGTTAGAATTGTAACCTCATAACCTTAACGCCACCAGTTGCCATACAGGGACATTGATCACTGTTTAACAACCAAATCTTATTTTCCTCAAAGCAAGTGTATGATAAAAGATTAATTTTTTTAAACAAAACTCAGTGGACATTGAACTTGACTTATTTTATTTCTGATATCACATATTATCATATATTAAGTTACATGTATCATCTTTGATAAGAGAGTGTAATGACTATTATAAAGTTTTTGAAGTACATATGTGCGTAGTAGTATAAAACAAAGAATTGCAATGAGAGAAATAATTCATGTTCAAGTTGGACAATGTGGCAACCAAGTCGGTTCGAAATTTTGGGAGGAAATTTCCCAAGAACACGGTATAAGCAACGATGGGAAATACATGGGGAATGAAGATATCCAACTGGAACGGATCGATGTCTTTTTCTCTGAGGGTCAAGTCGGATCTTACGTTCCTCGGTCGTGCATGGTGGATCTCGAACCCGGAACTATAGATGCTATCCGTAGCGGACCTTATGGTAAAATATTCAGACAGGATAATTTTGTCTTTGGTCAAAACGGTGCGGGTAACGTCTGGGCGAAAGGGCATTACACAGAGGGAGCTGAACTTGTGGATGAAGTGATTGATATCTTGAGAAGAGAGGCCGAGCGATGCGAGTGTCTCCAGGGTTTCCAGTTGCCGCATTCCTTGGGTGGTGGGACCGGATCTGGAATGGGAACATTAATACTAGAAAAGATTTCGGAGGAGTTTCCGGATCGTATGAAATGCTGCTATTCCATATTTCCGTCATCCACGGTAAGTTTAATTTGTATCATTTGGTTTCAAAATAGAAGTTCATAAAAAATATCTTTCGATTGGGTACATTTTTTCTAATGTATTCTCCATGTCGAAGGAAAAACAATAATATCTCTACTGAGTAATAAAAACAGTATGTATATCTATTATTTTTTTCTATTTCAGGTTTCCAACGTGGCACAGGAACCTTACAATGCAGTACTTGCCCTTCATCAACTTCTTGAACAATCCGAACAAACTTTTTGCGTCGATAACGAGGCTCTTCAAAAGATCTGCTTACAGAGCCTGAAAATTCGGAACCCGAGTTATGGCGATCTCAATCATCTCATCTCCCGTACGATGTCTGGAGTAACAGCGTCGTTACGGTTTCCGGGGCAACTCAATTCGGATTTACGAAAACTGGCCGTCAATATGGTTCCATTCCCGCGTCTTCACTTCTTCATTCCAGGATGCGCTCCACTGACCGCCAGGAACTGCGAGCAGTTTCGGGCGCTCAGTGTTGCGCAACTGATCAGGGAAGTGTTCGATTCGCGGAACATGTTGGCAGACTGTGACCCACGTCATGGTAGATATTTAACAGTAGGCACGATGTTCAGGGGCCGTGTATCTATGATGGAGGTTGAATCAAAGCTCATGCAAACTAGAAATAAAATGGCCAGCGGCTTTGTAGAGTGGATACCAGATAGCTTGAAATTAGGTGTCTGTAATGTTCCAAACACGGACTCCAAACTTTCGGCAACGTTCATCGGTAACAATACCGCAATTCAAGAAATATTCCGGCGCATCGTTGATCAATTCCATGTCATGTTTCGAAGAAAAGCGTACCTTCATCATTACAAAAATGAGGGTATGGATGAAATGGAGTTTACGGAAGCCGAGTCGAACTTAAAAGATTTGATATCTGAGTATCAGCAATGTGAAAGCATGGTCGTGGACGAAGAATCGCAGGAAGAAAATGACGAACACGGGATCAATGTCGAATGATGTCTTGATATACTGATATGCTCTTTGCGAGGAGATGTCCGCTTTGTAGTACCCTTGTGAAGTTGTTATTCCATTTATCTGTATACTTGCTGTTGTAAAATATTATACCCTTCATTATACCATGTGGATTGATAAACTGTTGTTGACCAACTGTCATTTCAAGACGACTATTATAAAGTCTGACCTCGTTTTCTCGAACTCAACTTGAGAGAAAAAAGTTCGATATATTTAAGCAATCGATTATCGAGGCTTAAATACTTTTAAAAGAACAAGTGTATGAACTTTCACATCACTTTGACATCTCCATAGTACTAGTATTCGAGATATCAAGGGTTCGACATACTGAAGTTCAACAGTAATTGGTTTCCTATGTTCCATTGATCATGGATCTGTTGCTGCTTTGCGTTGTTAAAACCGCTGTTGTTTTGTAGACTATGTTGAAGACATATTGATTTATAATATATTTGTAAGCCAGTGGAATATTATAGATATTTTTGGCATATTGAAAATCAAAAATTGGTTGGCCTATTCATATCTTATAATTGTTTTTAATTTATCTATAATTGTTTACTAAAATATTAACAGCAGTGAAGTAGAATCTTTTAGATTACTTTAAAATTCAGATATGGATACTTATACTAGGTCATTTGCAAACCTTTTTCCTTAAAAACATTCTGGTTGTACACGCATGTATTCCGAAGTTAATAATTGGGACATGCTTGAGTCTCTGTTTGACAATATTTCATGAATTTATTTGAAGATTTTTCCAACAACTGTCGGAATTTCCATGGGTACCTTGTGCGCTCCCACTGTATACCTATTTTGTGTCCTATTGAAGCAGAATGTTTTTTTTATACCTTCTACATGAAAAGAAGTCTCTTGTTGTTGTCCTTAGTTTAACATTTTAAAAATATATCGATGGCGTTGCTTTTAATTAACAATAAAATTCATTTTCATTCCTACGTCGATTCGATCTATCCCTCTGAACTGGAAATAACAGATATATTGTCGCTCAAATCTGTGTCATTTTTGGATACTTAACAAGAAAAAGACGGTGATTTAAGAAATATTCGGGGGCACTCTTGATCAATTCAATGTCATGTTTAAAAAAAGCAGAGTTACTTAAAATTATATGATATAATACTACATAAATGAAGGTAAGGATGAAATGGACTTTGGAAGCTGCATCGGAGGGCATTTGACAAATAGTATGAAACATGTCAGAGCAAACGATAGACTGTTTTCACTAACAAGAACATTATAGTTTGCATAGAAATTACCAAAAGCTAACGTTGAAATCCTTCTTAAATCGACTTATTTGTCATTAGTTTGCCTTGTTTAAAATTTGATTGCTTTCAGAGCAGGCTCTAGCGTATCAAATCAGTTGAAAGTCATAAACCCCACTAGTATATGCAATTTGTGTTGAAATATTGCTACATAAACAAGTTGACAATGGAAAATCTAAGTTCTGCCGTTTGTCATATACCGTAATTTAGACATTAGCTGTCCATGATCATCTTTAGTCAGTTAAACATTAAAAAGGATAGATGTGCATGGCTAAATCTATAGTGTCTTATATCGAGCTCACTGAAATAATACATCGAGTCGACATACCGATATAAATATGGAATATGAATGAAAGTAACTACTGTTAATTGAAAATCGATATCTTTTTAACATGCGAGTTTTTAATGAATTATACTTCGTAAATTTATACATGTATATAAACACGGCTAATAAATTATATAGGGAGCACAGTTATTTCATCAGACCCTGCATAATGTCAACAAGGACCTCAAGACCTCAAGAACCATTTTAATATCAACGCCAGAGTAGCTGAAAGTAGAATCAGAACGATTTCAACAAAATGTTAGCTGTCTGGTAATTTTGCAGATTTATTGTATGCTGTTCAACGTCTCTCTGAAGAATTTTTCACTCATATGGACACTACCACCACTTGCCGGTGGAGAGCTCCAGATTGTGTCCTATATTTGGCACTTACGGCCACTGAGCAGTGAATGATCTTTAATTTCGTGCCAGCAACTAATGCGACACGGAACCCCTGTTTATACGATCTCATCCAAAGAACTGGTCTCCACGTCCCATATTGGGATTTAAACTCGCGACGTAAGGATCAAATCCTCTCTAGAGTAGACGTTCTTACCACTGCGCCACGCGGGCGACGTAGACAATCAATCACAATATACGTAAATTTACGAATTGTACATGTATTTGCTTGCGTGGCACAGTTGTTAGAGCGTCTGCTCTAGAGTTGCGTAGTAAGGAGCCAATCTTTACGTCGCAGGTTCAAATCCCACGTGTTACGTTGAGACCGGTCCTTCGGATGAGACCGTATGAACCGAGGTCCCGTGTCGCATTAGGTGCTGGCACAAAAAAGATTCTTTACTGTTGCCCTGAGCACCGAGTATTAGACAGACGTACTGCTCTCCACCAGTAAATGTTGGCGTCTCCATGATTGAAAATTTTCGAGAGGGACGTTAAATATCAAACGAAATGGATTTTTATTAAGGAAGCAATTGTCTGTGATGTTAACAACTCTTTAACAAATTAATGGAATGGTTGTACAAAGCGTTCAACGTCTCTCTGAAGAATTTTTCACTCATATGGACACTACCACCACTTGCCGGTGGAGAGCTCCAGATTGTGTCCTATATTTGGCACTTACGGCCACTCAGCAGTGAATGATCTTTAATTTCGTGCCAGCAACTAATGCGACACGGAACCCCTGTTTATACGATCTCATCCAAAGAACTGGTCTCCACGTCCCATATTGGGATTCGAACTCGCGACGTAAGGATCAAATCCTCTCTAGAGTAGACGTTCTTACCACTGCGCCACGCGGGCGACGTAGACAATCAATCACAATATACGTAAATTTACGAATTGTACATGTATTTGCTTGCGTGGCACAGTTGTTAGAGCGTCTGCTCTAGAGTTGCGTAGTAAGGAGCCAATCTTTACGTCGCAGGTTCAAATCCCACGTGTTACGTTGAGACCGGTCCTTCGGATGAGACCGTATGAACCGAGGTCCCGTGTCGCATTAGGTGCTGGCACAAAAAAGATTCTTTACTGTTGCCCTGAGCACCGAGTATTAGACAGACGTACTGCTCTCCACCAGTAAATGTTGGCGTCTCCATGATTGAAAATTTTCGAGAGGGACGTTAAATATCAAACGAAATGGATTTTTATTAAGGAAGCAATTGTCTGTGATGTTAACAACTCTTTAACAAATTAATGGAATGGTTGTACGAAGCGTAGAAAAGTTATATATTTTGATATTATTGATCTTTGAAAAGGTTTTAACTTAATTTTTTTTTTTTTAAAAAGTTCATTTGAGGATTTGTTTGATAAATATTTTGGCGAGTGAGAAGGAATAATGTCATGGTTGAAAATTTACTTATTGTTTCTTTCTTTGCAATTATTTGTAGAAATTTGATGGAATCCAGTTGAGTTATAGTAAATCAAACCCACTTCCATCTGACTTTTTTGTTTTAACCATAACCATAAGGTTTTTCGTATTCCGGTAACAAGATCATGTTTAAACTTCTATACCATGTACTATAAGAATACCACTTTCGTGGGTTGTGTTTAGATGATTTTCTTGTATCATGTGGGTACTTTTTAAATATATTAAGTGATTGAATGTACAGATAATTTTTTGTTTAGGTACATGCGTTTACTCGTTCATTTTATTAGAAATGAATTAAACTTGTTTCTTTGTGAAGTCATCCAAGAAAGTGCAAGTTCTCGATATAAATGTTAACCACTTGGCAAATTTAACTTCACATCCAAGATACCACAGAGTCTGACACATCTGGTTCATACTTGGATATTTTACTTGCAAAAGACGTTAATGGTAATCTAACAACCAAGCTCTATGATAAATGTGATGACTTTAACTTTTCTATCGACAACTTCCCTTACTAATGCAGCAATATACCTTCATCACCTGCATACGGTGTTTATATATCTCAGTTGATTCGATACGCAAGAGCATGCTCTATGAACAGTTTCTAAAACAAGGTAAGTTATTGACAGACAAGTTGATGAAACAAGAATATCAGCAGTCTCGTTTAAAGTCATCGTTTCGTAAGTTCTTTGGTTGATACAATGACCTTGTCAGCAAATACAATTTATCATCGAGTCAAATGCTGACTGACGTTTTTCATACTAATTGTTAGTCCATTACATGTATTTATACACTGATTTGACGACGGATTCTTCCGTTATTTCCCGATCATGACAAGGAGAACACCGCGGGTGTGACCGGTCGGTAGGGGGTTGCTCACTCCTCCATGGCACCTGATCCCACTTCTGACGTTTTAGAGGTCTTTGTTTGCTCTGCTCCTGTTTTGTGTTGTTTTATGGACTTTTATATTGATTACTGTTCGTTATCTCCATTGCCTTCATCCAATGAATGCATTAGGGTTGGAAACTAAATTCCAGATAATTGCTTTAATATATCGTTCTTTTTTCAACAATACATTGTCTTAAACTTTGGTAACTGCTCTCTAATTAAATGGGTATAAAACTACGATCATCCATTTTGTATTCTGGAAAAATGAATAGGGATTCAAGATTGCCATTCGTTAGAAGTTGTCTAATGGCTTACTTGTTTTATTTACATGTACAGGGACGATTCCTTTAGCTGTGTATACTGCAGGAAAGATCAGTTTTGTTTTACAACTGACATGCAGCCACGTTTTTTTTTTGTGCTCCAGACTAATCGACCCTTTCATTTATTTTGTTGTCGAGTCTTACTGGTTAATTCTTTAACGTGCAAAGTGTACTGTGCAGAAAATTACAACCAACTTGGACACTTCCAAAGTTTTTTTTTTTTATGACGCAGCGGCATCACAAAGAAGCTTATGTATGCAAAAGACTTTTTTTTCCAAATCTCCCAAACAATGTAGGAGCAAAAAAGTTCTTTTTCTACGCTATGCAATTAGTCAAAGAAATCAGGAATCAAACGTATAGCCTCCTTGAGGTCCGAATGTCAGAGACTGGTCATTACCTGGGCAAAGGTGAAATGTAAATACCTTTCATTTTAAAAAATAAGTTTATTGACTACAACAACTTGTTGAACTTATTTTCTTGGAATTGAAAAAAAGGAATATCCATAAACCAAAAATATCTATTTACAAATATCTCGTAACAAAATTAAACAATTGCGACTCTCCTTGAAATCATCACTCACAATTTGTCCATAAATAATGATAAAAGATCTTTTGTCGAGTTTAACTCTAGAAAAACATTATGACATAAGACTTGGAAGACATAAGCCTTTGGCTCCTCCCATATATTATCGCAACACGAACACTTATAAATGCGGCAATTTAGAGTGCAAATCTAAGGCATGCTGGGATTGGCTAGTTCCGGCTACAGACCAATCATTTGATTGGCTACTTTTTGAAGCAGCGGAAGCTTGTGATTGGTTGCCCAGCATTAAAAGATTACCTAGCAGCCAACAGGCGAAAAGATGGTTAAGTACTATCACAATACCCATTACATCCTTGGCACTAGGAAATATTTCGGGAAACGCACTTAAAATCGAGATCATTTCTTTTCCAATTTACAATTCTTGGAATATTTAGCACCAACTGAGATCATAAGTAACAAAAATTATAACAAACTTTCTTTGAACAACTCTACAAAAAGGCAACTAAAGTTAGTGAACTGGGGGGTCATTATTTCTTTTAAAAATTATCTTGCCTGCTAGGTGCTTGATAAAAAGTACAAAAAAGCAAAATTATCCCTTTAGGTAAAAAAAAATTGGATATATACATGAGAGCAAGAACTACAAACGTCTCGCACAGACATAGCGCAGTAATTCAAAAAAAAGCAACGTTTATTGAAGCTTCTTTGCTCAGCCCTGTATAAAAAGCTGTAATAGTATGAGCCCCCAAAATACCTCCATGTGCCACCGACGTAACGCGAAGTGCAACAACTCAAAAAGGCTTTGTCTAGTTCTACCGAGACTAGTCGGAATCAATCCGGATATACACAGGGTCACTGTATTTACCCAGTTTGATTCCAACATTTACATGTAGTTAACAACACTTTCTCAGTCATGTTCAGTGTCTCCATACGTTTGTGTATTCTTTTATTTTTCACAAAATATTTGTCTTTTTTGCTTTTAAACAATTTTTTTCATCTTTTATCAATAAAATGTCTAGCACCTTGTAAAACAAACGAACCAAACTTGTATACTGAGAAACCATTTTAATGATCAGCACCAAATAAGAACAGAGCTTCTGATTGGCCAATTGTTCATCTGCTCAGCCAATGGGTGTTGTTGAACTGTTTAGCGACAGTTAGTGTCGTTAAATATAATATATATAGAAATGGCAAAAAGTTTGTAACTTTTAACTAGAATGGCAGCGAAAGCTGTGCAGTGTTAAATGCGAATCACCTTGAGTCAAGATTCAAAAGACGAAGATAGGCAGCGTTTTTAAAAGAAATCACCGGTAATTAAAGAAACATCACAAAGACGTAGGATTTCAATTCCATCTATTCAATGCCTAATTGCTTTGGTTCTCACATTTTCTGTCATAGGAATTTTTCTGCTTATGATTTGGTGATAACTTCAAATTTGTAAAGAGTTTGGCTCAAAACATTCTTTTTTCAGTGGATTTTTTTTTTTTAGCGTTCAATACTGAAGTTGTCCAAGTGGCCAAAACATGTGAAAAATAAAACCCATTATAAAGAAAACTCAGACAATAAAGGGAGAAAACGATTCCCATAGAAACTATTTACACGTTACCATGGCAACAGTAATCAGAAGATGTGAGACACTATATATATACACACACAATAAAGGACAACACAATATGGTATATTTTGGATTATATTTTTGAGTTTGGTAAATGGCGTCTCTTTAAGAGCCTCCGAAGCTATGCAGACAAACACAATAGTAAGCAAATGGAGGGGCGGATCTCAAAATGAATGAGATCGCGCCCAGCACAAAAGCACAAGCGAATCTACATGATATAGCGTCAGTTGAAATAGTGACCCGGGGGGTGCATGACCAAAATTTACACAGTCTGAAATAATCTAAACCAAGTAATATATAATATATATATGTAAATATATATGTATCATACGATAAAAAATGCTAAGAAAAAATTTACAATTTAAAATCCATCACCGGAAAAGTCTCATAATGAGAGATAATGAAGTCTACGTATACTTTCATGCAATAAAAACACAATCTGTGTGGATAAGGACACATAGCATGGAATAAAAAAAGAGTCTCTTTTTTTTTAAACTACAAAATAAAAAGAAAACATTTCATCTGCAGAAAGAAAGAAAAAAGTTTTGTTGCTTTTTTGTAAGATAAGAAGAGTTTCGTCTGTCTGCTGGCTTGTGAACTGTTTTACAGTTCTGCAATTACATTGGCTCACACAAAGCTTTGTCATTTAAGCATCAAACTAGGTCACCCTCAGAAAAAGCTACAGCAACATGCCAAAGCAAAAGCAACATTTGTGCCACCTGGAGGTAACAACACTTAGCAACACTGCTTTACTAAAGGGACCACTGCTAAATATGGTTACAAATATTCCAGTATTTCTTGTTAAAGCATGGTCTTATTGTCAATATACAGCCTGCAGATTGCATCATACTGAGGTGTTACAATATTAAATAGGGCACACATGTTACTTTTGCTACATCGAGTTGCCAGGACACCAAAATTAACCCTCGGCAGAGATTATACATATGAAGCAACAGGACTCAAATCATTTTTGGAGGTTTTCGTCACTTCTTAAAATCCATTTTTCGGAAAATTCGAAAGATTAAACAAGAAAAAAAATTGATTTTCACTACATGTGATTTATGGTTAGCAGGAATACTGTCATCTCAATACTGAGTATAAGTCTCAGGTTTACAAGGCAATGATTTGAGTCCATTGTTTTTGGAAAAATACACAGTTTGCATTTTTTTCTTTGACTATCAATCTACAAATACATGATACAAACTAGAAAAAATACATTTCTCAACACAAACCTAATCTAGAGTGGAAAAATATTTTGAGAGAACATTACATGTCCATTCATAAACACAATTTTATAAAATGTCCATATATGGGCAAAATGTCCAAATAAGGGCAAAACTTAATCTGCATATTCATTCATGTGTCTGACACACCCTTCAATAATCTGTACAAATCACAAACATAGTACTTGCACATTCTCCACCAATCATCTTTGCTCATAGTCTATTTCTAATACCTCTGAATTTCTGCATGAAAAATTATCAAAAATATATTTAAAATGCCTCCTTTTTTCACAATATTTTGCACAGTGTGTGACAATGAAACCTAGAAAAAAATAAGTAATGCCTCATGGTGCTTTTAGACCTATGAGCAAAGATTTTCAGGGATATAAAAATTAACATGATGATGAAATTTCATTACAAGTCACATAACAAATATTAAAATTGAATACTAGTATCACAAATAATGAAACAGTGAATCAATTCTTTGTAGTTTATGAAAAAATGTTGGCATACTTTGTGTATATGTTTGTAGTTCATATGCCCCATTGCTTACAATCAACCTATTTCTCATAAGTTAATTATATTATCAACTCCTTTAAAAAAAATCAGCAATTATTTTTCTCATAAGAAACAATCATATATCTTTTAATTGCAACAAGAAAAATGCAAAAATTAACAATGGACAGACAGATAATATGGTTTATAAAATGGAAACATGATTTAAACCAAATAACTGCTCCCCTACTTATTAAAGTGAAAGTAAATTAAATATGCCATTATTAAAAGTGAAAGTAGATATATAACAGATGAGAAAAAATTATTATGCAAAAAAACCTCAATGTGCCTGGATTCCCTTCTCTGTGTATCTGTACCCTGTCCTTTTTCTCTCACTTATAAAACGAATTTCTATTTTTAAATAAAAAACAAAAAACCTTCGAAACTCAGAAAAAGAAATTGTAAAAATTCCCCGCAAATTAACACCCCACTTGTTAGTATTAAGAGAAATTGTATCGGTATAATTTGGTACTGAGACAATAAAATATACACACTACACATATATATATCATTTATATATTTACATGAACACAAGTGTCTTTCTGATCCACACTGATCATTAATTAAAACACACACAAAAAAAATCACATCATGAAAAATTCTCAAAAAATGGCTTATTTAAGTCACATGACTTGACAACATGCACCAATCACATGATCACAATTAGAAACATACATTATATAATAATAATAATATTAATTTGAACTAAAAAAAATATGGTTAGGTTTTCAGTTTTCTGGAAGAATTTGTAATAGATTTCATGTTAGCAGTTAATATAGGGGGTTTGTAAAAAGGTAATCTTGGGAAAAGGTAAATACATGCATTTCCGAATATGGCACACGTTTGCTGCAAGATTTGTGTAGGTCTGGTGCTCTACTTAGCTCTTAGCTACATTACCTGGTGTTCGAGGTTCAGAACCCCTCTACCAAAACAAAAAACCTGGAAAATAGCACTATAAATTCCCACCAGGTCAAGGTCAAAGACCAGGGTCAAGGTCATAAGCGGGATTTCATTGCCCAACTACAGCACTATTTCTCCAACATGGCTAACCATTTCAAAGCTTGACAGAACTGATAAATGTGGCATTTACTGGGACATTCGAGTCAGCATCATTTCAATCTTTTTTTTCTTTTTTTAAAAGATTAAAAGAAAAAAGTTATATGGCACATTTTGAAAAAAAAAATTGTTCATATAACAGTATTAGTGTGCACCTTATAAAATTGCACTTTCATATCATCAAAATATATAATTTTACAACAGTTCACGAAAAACTAAAACTAGACCTATAACGACTCTAAATATAGATTCACAATTTTTTAAAATATGTGATGCGAACATTTAATTCATAGACTATATGTTCAAGCAAAGGATGGGTGCGTCTTTTTTTTTGTTATGTACATTGGCCATCTGAATAAAATAATTTTTCTCTTGTAGAAACAAAGTCAGATCAACTCTTTATCTTGACGAAATAACAAAACAAACAGGATATATATATATATAATAATGAATACATATGCACCATAATAAAGAGATCAAGATTTCTGTTGACTATGACTGTGTTTCTACAAGAGGTCATGACCTATTATAGCTATAAATAGCCCCATACAGCAGCCCTGGGAGTGCGGCTAAAAGTTCTAAGCAAAAAAAAGCAAATATTATCGTAAAATGTCTTTCTTAGCCCCGATTATCTTAAACAACTTGCGTAGTAAAAGGTGTGAAAAGATAATATATCACAAATGGTGTGGTTATTTACCATTGGAAAATGAACAACAATTGTATAAAAAAATTCTAAACACTTAATTAAAACACAGAACTTATCTGATATGATTCTGCTCTTGTGCGGAGTTTTTTTTCTCCCGTTTTTTTGTAAAACCAAACTTTCAAAACATATACTTTGATTCAAGTACCTCTAACAGGTATATTAAGAGCATAAGAAGCCAATTAAATTAAAAAAGAAAAGAAACGCATAATCATAAAAGAGGTTAAAGGTCAATATGATATGCTTTAGCACCACTGGATAATATGGCAACTGGAGATATCCGAAAAAAAAAATCAACGTTGGCGTTTTCCTCCTTGGGGACTGTGGCAGAGATCCACATGTCCCAGTCTGGTGTAAAGAAATTAGAAAATAAATGTCCTGTGTGGTGTACTGAGTGTTCCTTACGAGTAGACTCCCATTGCTTGGTGTATGATATTTGGCAAATCCCCGTCACTTTGAGGGTGGAAGGTTGACAGGGATGTGATAATATTTGCACATGGGGCGTGAGCACTTTCCTCGAACTGCATCACGACACACGGCAACGCGTCCATCCGTCACTTCAACAAAGTCTGAAACAGAAAGCAAAGTTGCTGAATAAGCTATTTAATTTGAAGATACCTTTCCAGCAGCTAGAGTGAGTATTTCCTACTGCAAATTACGATGCATGCATCAGTTACAAGGAACTTGAACTTCAAATTCAGGCTTGAGGTTTAAACTGCTGAAAAATATTTCAAACAAAAAGGAAATTTTCACTACCAAAAGAAGATCTAAGACTTTAAAGAGTTCTCTTACCTTGTAGGATGTGCACTTTGTCGCACAATGGCCGATTACACCGCCCCATCTTAAAATCTAGGCACACTGGGAGGGTGTCCAGCAACTGAAAGAGTGTATGTAAACGTCCATAAAATCCTGTCCCTCCCACCCACCACACAGGCAAGGGGGAGGGGGAGAGAACATAACATGGCTTCCCTCCCCTCCTACCAAACAGGCAAGGGGGAAGGGGGAGAACTCAGTAGAGAATATGCTGCATCCCCTACTGATGTTCTAGCTCATTTTAAAGGTTTCTCAAATCTAAATTAGCAGAAATAAATATGAAGGAAATTTTAGTTGTAGCTACTAAAGCAGTATAGTAAAATTAAAAAAAAAATTAAGGATTCAGGTCTTTTCATTCTACTCTTTTCTTTGATTTAGCAGAAAATGCAACAAAAAATAATGCTGATGCAATACTTTAGATGGAACAGTGAAAAAAAAAATTCAATAAGCATGCAAGGGAGTTATATATATAATAATTTTGTCATAAAATTAGAATGCAGTTAGTAAAATCATGATGTGTTATCATTTCCCAGATTCCCATCACCATGACAACAGATAAACCAAACGTCTATTGTAGCTTGTATCAAAGTAACTATGGTAACTGTCACACGTACAACACCAAATAAACAGAATTCTGCTTTTCGTTAAAATTATACATCATGCACCACAATGCTGTTATAATATTTTTTAAATGTGTACAGTATTATATATATCAAAAGTGAAACATGCAATGTTATATCAAATTCAATTAAGTCTAATTGTATAAATGTAATTGCTGGAAAAGTGGTATGCATATATTTGGAAAAATGTATATGAACAATTCTTAAGTTTAGTCCCCTTAGGTATCCCCTTTAATATCAAATATAACTCTTTTGGCAAAGACAATATAAAGTATTCCCCATCTAAACTATATTTCTTGTACACCTGCACATACAAGTACTTGCCATTCCATAACCTATTATTAACTTCAAATTCTCTGGTTCCAAAGATTTCAATTTCTTTTTCTTAAAATACGAATTCTCACTGCATAATTTCATGTCTTTCAGATGCACCTGCACTTGTTTTCTAAATCTCACAACACGTCATTGCCACATCAGTCAACGATTCACAGCTTTTATTTTGAAAGAATTTCAAAGAAATGCAAGAAAAACTAATCAGCCAAGCTGTATCTGGGAATTCCTAGCGTCTGTAAAATGTCTCTTAGCGTCATGAAACTAGGCTTGCGAAGAGAAAACACATTGAAACTGTTTTGCCTAGCTCTATATAGAGCTGAACTTTGATGATTTTCAGCTGAAAATTGAAAAACAAATGGCATTCTAGCTTTTTTTCAAAGATTGAAATACTACGCTGCAAATTCTATGGTGACAGGAATCATGGGTAAAATCGCACATGATCTCCTCTGTGTCAGTCATGGTCACAGAAATGTTTTTTTTTTGCGTCCATAAAATTCAGCATTCAAAAAGTCAAGACTGGCTACGACAAACACTTTGAAAAGTTTTTTTTCGCATTCACAGTCATTTCTTTTCAAAGGTGTAGTAACCACACTTGGCTTTTTAGACTACTGAAAAAAATGGTTGCCATGACTACACACATACAAAAGCCTGATGCATGTTACCTGCTGGTTGGAGTCAAAATAATTGACGTTTTGAGCGTTAGTAGGAATCAAACTGGCAGGGGCCGTCACCATGGCATCAGGCACGGCAGGGGAGATAACCAATGGCACTGTTACGTCGGGTATTAGTTTTCATGACCAGAATTACGTGCACATGATGAAAGCGATTTTATTTGAAAACCGCATGCAGGTGACCGAAGCAAGTTAATAAGCACACAGGTTAGAGAAAAAATAAAAGAGAAAAAAAAAAAAAAAAAACATCAATAAAATTAAAATATGTGCTGGAAATAAAAAAAATTAGTGAACAAAAATCAGTATGCATGATCTATGACATATTGGGATTGTTTGACCAAAACAAAAAAAAAGAATTTAATTTTTTTTTTTTGAAAGCTATCTTGTTTTTTATTTTTCCAAAAAATTATTTTATAAAATTGTACAAATCCCGCTATATCTTAAATTGGATCATAAAACATGTATGCATCAGAAATATGCATGCATGCAGATAATTAAAATCAAAGAAAAAATATTCAAATATATACTGATGTGACAAGTGCAAAAACTAAAATGACTGTTAGTAAAATTAGTAAACCATTTAGTGTATTATTTATGTAGGAAAATTCTAAAATCTCTG